TTTACTCGGTATGATGGGAAGTTAGGCACTGGAACCAGCAAAGTGACCCAGTTACATATTTAAGATTATTCCAGCAGCTGTATGGAAAATGGACTGTAGAGGGCGCTAGAGTGGAAACCCCAAGCCAGAGAGAAGCTACTGTAGTCCATGTGTCAAACTATGGTGTTTAGCTCAGTGGTAGCATGGAAGTGGTAGATATAGTGGGATTGGGGTTATATTTGGGGATAAAACCAAGAGGGCTTATTAACTGAATACACAGAGAGGGTGAAAGAGGGGTCTCACGGACCAATCAACAAAAATGAATTGGACAAGAATCAGGACTCACAGTGACAAAATATCACAGATGGTCCCCAAGATCTAGAGATCTGTAATGTGTTCTGGGGCGACCAGCTAATTATAGGATGGCCACAGACTTGGCATTCTGCTCTATAACATCATCCCTCTTTAGTGAGACATTTATTCAGGCTTGAACCCTCTAAGAAGACTTATCTCAGAGACCAAAGAGAACTGCAGGAAGTGCTGTCTCTTGATGAGCAAATACGCAGGCTTCCTCTCGGGGCAGCTCCAGAGGCTGCCAAGTGTGTAATGTGTTTCTGTATTGTCTCCCCTCCCCCCTCCCCCCAATTCTGGGAGGGAAGCAACTCCATTCACCATTGCACACTGAGTACCTGCCCCAGGATACATGTGCAATAAACATTCGCTGAATGACTGTGGAATAAAATGACAGAGGTAGCCTAAGTCTCCCTTAGAAGTCATATTTTAAGGGAAAACAGCAATAGCCAGGCTAACCCAGAGACAAAGAATAAAGTTCAGGAGGGGGTTGAGGCTGACGAATCCGTTGGAGCTCTAGGCTACAGCCAGTAAATGAGAAACAGGGATTTTGCAAGAGATGGCACAAAGGGCTAAGCAACAGTCATTGATGGGACTTTGCAGCTGAACTTGTTGATCTCATCACAGGACCATCAAATGTCAGAGCTGGAAGAGATCTTAGAAAACTTGTAGATCGACCCACATGTTTACAGATAAGCAAATTAGGGTGAAATGGCTCAGGACTAGAACCCAATCCTCTGGACGCCAGATACCAAATTCTTTTTCCTATCACACAGATGGGCAGTTATATTGAACTTCCTCTTCCGTATGTAGGCTCAAAGAGGAGTTTTCAGAGCAAGCTGGAGAGATAGTCTTCTGAAATCCGAAGTCTATACTAATATAAAATTCTCATTTTAGAATTCAGTTCCATGAAGAATAAATGATCCCTCTTGATAAACTTTTCCCCTTATCATTCAAAGAAAATAAGGCAGCCCATCATGGTTCCCTTTTTGACACGGCTGCCAGGAAGGTTAGAGCTAAGTTTTTCTTTTTCCAATAAATTTATTTATTTATTTAATTTTTGGCTGCATTGGGTCTTCGCTGCTGCACGTGGGCTCTCTCTAGTTGCAGTGAGCGGGGGCTACTCTTTGTTGCGGGGCGCAGGCTTCTCATTGTGGTGGCTTCTCTTGTTGCAGAGCACAGGCTCTAGGCACGCGGGCTTCAGTAGTTGTGGCTCGCGAGCTCTAAAGCACAGGCTCAGTAGTTGTGGCAGACGGGCTTAGTTGCTCCGCGGCATGTGGGATCTTCCCGGACCAGGGCTCGAACCCGTGTCCCCTGCATTGGCAGGCGGATTCTTAACCACTGCGCCACCAGGGAAGCCCCGTTATAGCTAAATTGAACACTTAGTCCTCATAACAACAGTGGCCTCAGTGGTTAAGAATATGCCTGCCAATGCAGGGGACATGGGTTCGAGCCCTGGGCCGGGTCCCACATGCCCCGGAGCAACTAAGCCCGTGCGCCACAACTACTGAGCCTGCGCTCTAGAGCCCGCGAGCCACAACTACTGAAGCCTGCGCGCCTAGAGCCCATGCTCCGCAACTAGAGAAGCCACCGCAATAAGAAGCCCGCACACTTCAACAAAGAGCAGCCCCTGCTCACCGCAAGTAGAGAAAGCCCGCGTGCAGCAACGAAGACCCAACGCAGCAAAAATTAAAGATAAATAGAATTCAGATTTGGAAAAATTAGTAATTAAAAACAAAAACAGTGGCCTTAGTTTTTGTCAAAAAGTACTTCTTTCCTACTCCTCTTGATGACTTTTCATGTTTCATAAGTATTTCAATGGCCTTATTGTATATGTCTGTGTTACTGTTAGACGTCTCAAATTTGTTTTGGAAGTCAGCCAGGTCTAAATCACCAAAAAAAAACAAAATAGAAGGAAGATTTCATTTCTCTTGTGCACTGGAACGGCTACTTATAGTGTGGTGTACGTTTTCAGATCCCACCCTTGACCTAAAACTCAGACATTACCTCCCGGCTTTATATTTATAGAAAGGAGAGCCCACCACACGACAGACTGCATACAAATGACTAGTTATAAAATTGTAGGGTCTGCCTGCTAACTAGGCAAGTCCCTGGAAACTTCTCCGAAATGAAAACAAGATGTGGAAGGAGAGTGCCATGCTTGCTGTGCTGACGTGGCAGGACTTCACTTACACCAGGACCTGGGCGGGAGCAGTGCAGCCTGGCCTAAGGATGGTCAGCAGGTGGTGGACTGGGTCCCACCCAGCTCCACGCTTGCTGCCGACTACTCCCCAGGCTCGAGATACAAGATCACCGTAGCCTTCGTCTCTTCTGGATTCTAGCCATGTAAAGAGATTAAAGCGCTCATTTTCTGAAAACATGAGGCTTTCTTTTCCCTCCCTAAAATGAAATTCCTCCTAAACCACAAAAATTTAACCCAGGCAGGATTAGGAAAGCAACAAAGGCGTCCATGCAGAGATCTTTCCTCCTGCTCCCTTAGTGCTCTGTCGCTGTTTCTGCCCAGGTAGCAAAAGAAACGTTAATAAGTCCCTGAAAATGTCAACATCGCCAGAGGACGCTAGACTTTCATGTTTATGCATTTGAGCCTGAGACTTCCTGTGGCTTTTTTTTTTGTTTTTTCCTCTTTCCTGAGTTTGAAAATTTTGTTCTTTATTCTTATGGTGTTGCCCATGATTTCCATGATAATCTAAGAGATACGTTTAGAAGAAAAATGGCTTCAGGAGACACTGTTGCTCATGGAAATAGTCCTTCCCGAAAACAACCATTTGGATTCTGTTCATGGTCTCTTCCAAGTCAGAGCCAATTTTTTCAGGCAGAGACAAGAAAATGCTGCCCCAATGTTCCCAACACCTTGAAGGATGAAGACAGTTCCAAAAATCTATGATGTTTCTTCAGAAAAATTTCAGGAAAATTATGAATGCAGGCAAGCCTACTGTATGACACCTGCATTAGTACGAAAGGGCTCAACCTGTACCAAGACTGCTGGGATCAGTATCCTCATCATGGAACCTTGGACAAATTGCTAAACCTTGTGTAATATTTTCCTCATCTGTAAAATGGAGATAATATTAGTGCTTAATCAGTGCTTACTTCACAGAGCTGTCTCTCAAAGTTTGGTGTGCATCAGAAACAAGAGGAGTGCTTGTTAAAACACATACTACTGAACTCAACCTCTTGATTTTTGATTTTGTGAGCCTGGGTGGAGGAGGGAAGGGGTGAGACTCAGCATTTCCAACAAAGCCCCAGGTAACTCTGGTGCTGCTGGTTCAAAGAGAACTCCAAGAGAACCACTATCTAGGGTTATGGTGCTGATGGCGTAGTTAATGAACGTAACCTAAGTGTTAATAATGACTATTTTAATGTACTGTGGTTAACACTATGCCTTGTAAAAAGTTAGCTGTGATAAATGGTGTCCATTCTAATTATCTTCCAAGTCGTCCCATCAACTTACAAATCATAGCAACTTTGTAGCTAAACCGTAATAGAATCCATTACAAGAAACCTCAGTACATAAGAGGGAAAACCCTATTAACTTCCTAACAGAAATATCCTTATTTTAAAGAGTGAATACATTCATAAGAGATTGTAAATGGTTCTAAATAGACTTAAAAGCAATTCTATACATCACTGGGGTTTTTTCCCCTAAAACTTGTCCATACCCATCTGTACATTTCTTACCAGGCAGAAGAGAAACAAAAGCTGACACAGCTACTTACTAGGTTTCCTGACTTTTCTCTCACTTACAGTAAAAACGCCAAACCAAATTTAGTCATTACGGTGAAAAAGAAGTCTTCCACTCGTTTCAAGTAATTAAGGAGCCCAGCAAATGTGGACGTTGCAACTGGCAGTTATAACCATCAACAGTCTCCAAATGGTAGAGGAAACAGAGGGCTACAAGACAAGGGGATTTTTTAAAAGCTCTCCACAACAAAGGAAATGAACGCAAATCCCTAACCTGCGGGTGTTCCAGCAACCCTAAGGCCAAAGATGAAAAGCTGTGGCGGGTTAAGCTCTGTGCAGATAAAGAGGATATCAAACAGAATGTCGAAGGCTAACATGTTTTCCTTGCAGGGCTGACCACACATGAGTCTGAAAAAGAAGGAGGAACAGGGAAAGCCCCACGCTTCCAAGGAGAACACTTCTTAGTACACTCTGGTCGAGAGCCTCTTCTGTTCTAAGCACAGGGGGAGATTCGCGGTTCAATGAGAGGCAGCCAGTACTTAGTAAACATCTAACTTTTCCAACTCAGTCAGATCTAAGTTTTTGGTAGATATTCTCCAGTGAAACATGAGAGTTAGATAAAGCATTCTTAAATCGTGATGGCTATTGAGAAATTCTACAAAGGGCGCATGTTTGCAAGAACGCAAAAAAAAAAAAAAGCCTTTGCCCTGACAGTTAAAAATGTACCATGCAGACCACTTTCCCTGACACTTCTCTTTTCAAAAGGTACGTGATGACCAGCACTGCGCTGTTAACAGGACTCCATGAAGACGGTTTTTCATTTCTAGCGGGGAAAGAAAGAAAAGTGGGCAGCCCGTGGGTGAACTTGGAGTTTGTCCCTCCAGCCCACAGCCTCCCATGGACCGGACACGGGTGGAAGGAGGGAGACACGGGTCCGCGGATGGGATTCTGGGGCTGCCACGACTCACCTCGCCAACTTCTTCAGGCTCTCGGCGCCCCGACGGCTGGCTCGGGGGCGCGGACGCGGAGGCCGGCGCCGGCGAGCGCTCTGGACCGCCCCCGGGAGGGCACCCGGGCCCGGGAGGCGCGCGGGGGCCGGCGCGGGGCGGCGCGGCGGGGCGGACGCGGG